AGAAAAAGAAATCTTCAGTGGAGCATGGGAATCATACTTGCAGTCTCAGCACTCTGGAAGGCTGAATCAAGAGGATTGAAAGCTCATGTCCAGCATGGGCAATTTAGTAACTTAGTTAAGATTTTTGTTTCAGAATAAAAACTAAGGGCTGGGGATATCATTCAGTGTAAAGGCCTTGGGTTCACTTCCCAGTATCAGAGGGATGGAAACATGTAGCTTTTTTCTTGCTGTTATTTCATTTTCTAAAATTTTTTAAAAATACTATTAAAATAAATAAATAAGTAAAATAATGAGTATACTCAGCTAGGCTGAAGAAGGAAGATCACTTGAGCACAGCAGTTTTGGTGGAATCAGGGATTGAACTCAGGACCTTGCGCTTGCCAGGGGTGTGCTTATTCTACTGAGCCATCTCCCCAGCCCAAGCACAGCACGTTGAACCTGGGCAGCATAGCAAGAACCCTAGCTAAAAATTTTGAGATAGATAAATTTTACATAAATGATAAAGTACCATAAGGTAGGTCATTTTGATAATCTTGTTTGGTTTGGTTTGGCTTTTTGAAACATTGTTTATGTAGTTCAAGCAGGCCTCAAACAAAGCTATCCTCCTGCCTAGTACTGGGATTTACAGGCATGGAACACCACACCCAGCTAATGTATTTTATTTTTGGTGCTGGGAATTAAATCCACATCCTCATGTATGCCAAATACAATCTCTTGTCACTAAAATACACCTTCAAGGCAGTTTAAAGAAATAAAAACCAGCTGGGTGTGGTGACATAGCTTTGTAATCTTAGCACTTTTGGAGGCTGAGGCTGGAGGATTACACATCTGACCTAGCCTGGACAATTTAATGACTTAGCAAGACTCTTTCAAAGTAAAAAATAATCTGGGGATATATATTGCTCAGGTATGAAGGCCTATCCCCAGCAACATAAAATAAGGTAAAAACCCTTCTCTGTCTTAGCTATTTTTTTTTCTGTCTTTTCTAGAAGATATATATGTTATTATAGATATTCTTCCCCTTCCACTGTGATTTTGAACACTCAATTCTGTTTTGCTTTTTTTTTTTTTTTCTTTTTTCTAATGTATTTGGTTGTTGCAGGGTCTCACTATGCAGCTCGGACTCCTAGTGATCCTCCTGTTTTCAGCTGCCTCAGAGCTGGGATTACATCCATGCACTACTATGCCTGGACTCTGGCTGGCTCAGCGTGCCCTGGGGGCAGGGCTGGCATAGTATGTGGTGTTAGGGATCGAACCGTGGTCCCTGCACTTACCTAAGCTTTCCTAAGCAGGTGTTTTAGTCTGCAGAGCTAGCTTGCTGGCCCGTTTTTTTTCTTCTTGCCTAATATAATTTTTTTTTTTTTTTTTTTTTTTTTTCTCGGAACCAGGGATTGAACTCAGGCCCTTGTGCTTGCCTGGGAAGCACTTATTCCACTGAGCCATCACCCCGGCCCTATAATTCTTTATTATAATCAGATCCTCTGTTATCTTGGAAGTAGTGTATTAGATCTGGGAATATGTCCTTACAAGTCTTTCCTCTTAGTTTATCCTGCCTAGGACTCATACTTGCCAATATGTTTTGTTTTGTTTTTCTAGAACCTTCCCCTCAATCCAGAGATCCCTTTTAAGACTGATTGAGAGGGCTGATATGATAGCTCAGAGGACTAATCCAAGTGCAGGGACTGGAGTTTGATCCCTAGCACCACAGGCCCCTCTGCCCCCTGCCCCCTGCCCCCAGGTACACCGAGCTGTCGAGGAGACTGGGCTTGGTGGTGCACACCTGTAATCTCAGTGCTGGGGAGGCTGAAACAGGAGGATCACTAGAGTCATAGCTGTGTAGTGAGACCCTGTACCAAGTACATTTTTAAAAAAAAAGACTGGTTGAGAAATGAAATAGAACTATAGCAATTCATAGTATCATTTTCTGTTTTTCTTTTTTTTTTTTTTTGGCGGAACTGGGGGTTGAACTCAGGCCCTTGTGCTTGCCAGGGAAGCGCTTATTCCACTGAGCCATCTCCCTGGCCCAGTTTTATTTTTTATCTATTTAGCACAGAGTCTACAGGGTTTCACTACAGGTCAGATTTGTAGTGATCCTCCTGTTTTCAGCCTCCCAAGCACTGGGATTATAGGCGTGTGTCACCACGCCCAGTCTCATTCACTGCCTCAGCATGCCCTGAGGATGGGGCCAGCTCAGATGGCTAGAGATCCAACCCCCGGCCCCTGTGTCTGCCTAAACAGGCACTTTAATCTGCTGAGCTGTCTGGCCCCATTTTCTGTTTTTCTTAACCCATTGTTTTTTATTCAGCTTGTTGGATTTGTTTTGGGAAGAATTGATGCTTGTGTGGTTAACAAAAAGCTCTTTGTACTTGTAGGTACTTTGGGAAAGTACTACCTTTTCATATTTTAAATATGGAATGCTCTACACATTTGTGTGTCATCCTTTTATAGAGGCCATACTAGTCTTCTTTATATTATTCCAGTTTCAGCATTATGTCCTGCCAAAGGGAGCACTATTTCTTTGGTTTTTAAGACAGTAGCCAAGCTGGCCCCGCCCCTGGGGCACACAGAAAGCAATTGAGACTGGTCATGGTGACACTTCTGTAATCCCAGCTCTTGGGAGGCTGTAAATAGGCTGATCACTATGAGTCTGATCTAGTAGTGAGATCCTGAACACCCTGTAGACTCTTCCCTAAAATACCAAAAAAAAAAAAAAAAAGGACAGGATTTTTCTGTTATCCCAGGCTGTCCTTGACTCCCTATGATCCTCCTGCCTCAGCCTCCTGAGTGCTAGGATTATAGGTGTGCACCACCACGCCTATTATAACCACCCTTTCTTAACCCTATTTTGGGTCTTAGGCATGAGGTAGGTCAGATATAATCACTTAGCAGATGACATACAAGGGACACATTTTTGTTCAGGATCATATCACCAGATCTTGTGAAAAACAAATCCAGAACTTTGTGAATCCCAGCCCAAACTCTGCTTAACTGCACCACCCTCCCTTCCTCAAGCAATTGATATTTAAAAGTTCTTAAGTTTTTCTATATAGATCTTAGTGGTTAGCAGACTCCAGGGTACTTCTGTCTTTTTTCCTTCACATATTTGTCCTCATTAAGTTATACAAAGGGTCAAGTCCTTGGGACAGGAGTTCTGAGATTGCACTACCATGATTTCCTTTCAGACAAGCAAACAGTTGGCAGCAGCATTCCAGGAGGAGTTCACAGTGCGAGAGGACCTGATGGGTCTGGCAATTGGGACTCATGGTGCCAACATTCAGCAGGCTCGAAAAGTACCTGGAGTGACCGCCATTGAGTTGGGTGAAGAGACCTGCACTTTCCGCATCTATGGGGAGGTAGGGAAAGATCTGTCCTGCGGGCTTCTTAGGGGATGGTGGGAAAAGAGTAGAAAGCAAACCTGAATGGTTTTACTACATATTTGTGTGTATGTAGTTTGGGGCTTGAAGCCAGGGCCTTGATCTATCTGTTAGGCAAGCACTCTTACATTGAACTACCTCCATAGTCCATAAACCTGTGTCTTGATGATTTCTTTCCTTACTTGGGTGGCATCATCCTATTTCCCCAAATTCAGAGAATGGCAGAGTTGGAGACTTAGAGTTGAAATCCTGTATTTCAGTAACATTTTTTTTTTAAAATTTTATTTATATGTGTGTGTGTGTCCATGTGTGTCCATGTGTGTCCAGCTCAGTCCATCAGGGGGCGGGGCTGGCTGGCATGTGGTGCTGGAGGATTGAACCGCGGTCCCTGTGCTTTGCTAAGCTTGTTCTAAGTAGGTGCTTTAGACCACTGAGCCATCTCACCAGCCTCTTCAGTAACATCTTGCCACTTTTCTCATAGACTCCTGAGGCATGTCGACAGGCCCGAAGCTACCTAGAGTTTTCTGAGGACTCCGTACAAGTGCCCAGGAACTTGGTTGGTGAGTCGTGGTGTGTGTATAAAAGAGAATAGAAAGCTTAATATAGTGACATACATCTGTATTCCCATCTACTCAGTAGGTTGAGGCAGGAGGATCAGTTGAGTCCGTGAGTTTGAGACCAGCTTGGGTAACAGTGATATGCCATCGTATATGCACACACACAAGCTGGGTGTGATGACACAGGACTATAATCCCAGTACACTGGGAGGTTGAGGCAAAAGGATTGAGAATTCAAGCACAGACTGGACAATTTAGTGACTTAGCAAGACCCTGTCCCAAAAGAAGTGGAAATATAGCTCAGTACAATGGCCCTTGCTTCAATCTCCAATACTTCAGAAATTTTTAAAAAACGAATGGGGGTGTGTGAGAGTCTTAGAAATGATTCTGGATTTTTAGCTGGGGTTGGCACTTCCCTGTGGACTTAGTACAGAGCATATCATTTCATGAGATTGACAATAGTGGAAGGATAAACTTGTAGAGCTTGTAGGGTACGCCCATTCCACCCTGAAACTTGCCCATCTCAGATGCTGAGCAGAGTTGTTCTTGGTTAGTACTTGGATGGGAGATTGTAATATTTTATTTTGTGAAAACTCATCAGAAACCTAGAAACAGAATTTTTTTTTTTTTTTTACAAACTGGGCATAGTGATGCACACCTGTAATACCAGCACTGGAGAGGCTGATGCAGGAGGACCTCACAAGTTCGAGGCCAGCCTGGGCTACGAAGTGAGTTCAAGGCCAGCTTGAACTGTGTAACAAGACTTTATCTCAAATTTTTAAAAAAGAGAAGAAAGTGGGGATATATCTGAGAGACTTTATATTATTGTTTTTACTTGTGTTTCCTGTTTTATAATAAGCCTAATTTCTCCTTTACTCATTCAGGCAAAGTGATTGGAAAGAACGGGAAAGTTATCCAGGAGATTGTGGATAAATCTGGTGTGGTGAGGGTCCGTGTTGAAGGTGATAATGACAAGAAGAACCCCAGGGAGGAGGTATGGGGTAACCAGGTCTAGGGATTGCTTTCCAGAAGTAGTGGGGTTGTCTTCTGAGGGCTGGAGACTTGCTGAGGGTGAAGCACAACTTTTGTCCCTGTAGTAAATTTTGATCCCATTGGGTGGGCTCTCCCGGGAGATCAGGTAGTGTTAATATTTCCATTTTTATTCACATTTCTGATCCATCTTTTCTTTCCTCTTCTCCAGGGAATGGTTCCTTTCATATTTGTTGGCACCCGAGAGAATATCAGCAATGCCCAGGCACTGCTGGAATATCATCTCTCCTATCTCCAGGTAGCTATGCCAAGGGCCAGGAGAGGAAGGAGCTGGTTGTGGCATGTAGGCAGGGACTTGGGGGCATTGGGGATAAACCTCAGAATGCGAGTTCCCAGTTTGTTTCTGTGAAACAGGAACGTTTGGTAGAAATCTTAACTGTAAGGTTGGATCCCAGTACTGTCTTTGTTCAGCCCTTGTCTTCCTTCTTGCATTTCTGAGAGCTTAACTATGTAGGAACATGAAGGTGACTATCCCTAACCTTATTCCTTCCATACCATTCTCCATTTTCTTCCCAACCAGGAGGTGGAGCAGCTTCGCTTGGAGAGGCTGCAAATTGATGAACAGCTTCGACAGATTGGGCTGGGCTTTCGCCCTCCTGGGAGTGGACGGGGTGGTGGCAGTGATAAGACTGGCTATACCACTGATGAGAGCTCCTCCTCCTCCCTACATGCCACTCGAACCTATGGAGGCAGCTATGGGGGTCGAGGCCGAGGCCGCAGGACTAGTGGTCCTGCTTATGGTGAGACAATTGCAGGAGCATTGGGAGAGGCAGGGGGATGTCTGGAAACTTGGAGAGAGTTGAGGTGGAGGAGAGTTGAGGTGGTGAAGTGATTGGCCAGGGGCTTGGGAAAGGGAGAACTTTAGATCCTGGATGGGAAGGATAGCCCTGAATAAATCCCTGTGTTCTTCAGCCCCCAGTTCAGACCCATCCACAGCTTCTGAGACTGAGTCAGAGAAGAGAGAGGAACCCAACAGAGCTGGGCCTGGTGACCGGGATCCCCCAACCCGGGGGGAAGAAAGCCGGAGACGGCCAATTGGGGGCCGGGGTCGGGGACCCCCACCTACCACCCGACCCACCTCAAGATATAATTCATCATCTATTAGCTCAGGTACCAGACATCTGGGGATATGATTATCAGCCAAAAGCATAGATGTTTGTCTGTTGCCTACCCCCCCCGCCTTTCTTTTCTCTGGCCAGTACTGAAGGATCCAGACAGTAACCCCTATAGCCTACTGGATACATCTGAACCAGAGCCTCCTGTTGACTCAGAGCCTGGGGAACCCCCTCCATCAAGTGCCAGGCGCCGCCGCTCCCGCCGCCGTCGCACTGATGAAGACAGAACTGTCATGGATGGAGGCCTGGAGTCTGATGGGCCTAACATGACAGAGAATGGCTTGGGTGAGTGTTTGTAGGACCTGAGAAGTCAGAGATGGGTAGGAGTGAGGGATGGAAGAGTATTTGACCGTTTTTTTCTCTCTGCCACAGAAGAGGAGTCCAGACCCCAGCGTCGTAATCGGAGCCGCCGCCGCCGCAACCGTGGTAACCGGACTGATGGGTCTATCAGTGGAGACCGGCAACCAGGTCAGCTGACACTGCCCACAGGAGCCCTTCTGCCGAGGATGGATGTTCTTGCCTCTTGACAACCAGGGCTGGGTTTGGTAGGAGTGTGGCCTGGATATCTGAGCTCCTTTTCAGAGTCTCAATGTCTGCCTCCCCAGTGACTGTGGCTGACTATATCTCACGGGCAGAGTCTCAGAGTCGCCAGCGGCCCCCCCTGGAACGTGCTAAGCCCTCAGAGGACTCCCTTTCAGGACAGAAGGTAGGCATGCGAGATGCAGATTTTACCCTACTCATTTTTCTTACTCTAGGGCAAGAGGCAGAAAAAAATTCCCAGAAAAATCTCATATTTCATTGCCAACATGGCCATGTCAGGTGGAATTTAGCACAGAAAGTGGCTCGCAATGAGGGTGATGGAGGTGGGAAAGCAGCTCCTGGGCAGTGCAAGGCCTAGTGGGAGGGAATGCTACACCTGAACTTCTACTGACTGCCTGTTTTTCTTCCCTTCATTTTCTTCCCCACTTTTTCCTCAGGGTGACTCTGTCAGCAAGCTTCCTAAGGGCCCCTCAGAAAATGGGGAGTTGTCTGCCCCCCTGGAGTTGGGTAGTTTGGTGAATGGGGTTTCATAAAACCTCCAACCTGCATCCCTCCCTTCTCCATCTCGCTTGCTGCCCACCACATGGGCCTCATGGGCCCAACTGACCTGCGCTGGAGCTGCTCTTATCTAGGGGGGAGGGGGGTGGCACAGCAGCTTGGGTCCCCCCCAACCTCCAGGAGCTAGTGGAGGGGTGTATAACAGGGTCGTAGCCCCTTCTCTCTTGTCCATTCTTCCCCCAGGGTGGGGGGAGCCTCCCCTTCCCCATCAGACTGGATGTGCCTTTATCCTCTAATGCCCCAACCTTAGAACACCCTCATTTTCCACCTGTAGGTGGGTGGGGGTGCTCCTTGACCCACCCAGATTTGACAGTTCAGGGGGGCCTGTGCTATCCCTCCTCCCATCCTGTACCCCGTTTCTGGGGCCTCATCACTGTGGAAGAGGGGGATAGTGAGGGTATCCGTGGGTGGGAGGCATGGGGAAGGTTTTGGAGAACCAGGGGTGTGTATGAAGGGGGGGTGACAAGGTCCCTCAGGGGAGGGGGCAACCTTGTCTGGTGGATGAGAAGGCGTATTTATTTTTCACTGTACAGTATTTAAAAAGAGAATAAAAAAATTCAAATGGCTCTGTGGTACCTGTGCCTTTCTTCCCAGAGTGATCCATTTGATTCTCTAGGACTGAACCTGCACTGGACCCTGGCTGTGGTCCATTCCTCCACACTAGACATATTCTCAGGGCTGGAAGAATCCCCCCTAGGGAACTGCTAAATTTCCTAAATTCTCCAGGCCCACCCAGGTACCCCCTCTTTGCTCACAGATGGTTCAGGCCTTCCTGTCCACCCTTCCCCTCCTGGTAGAGGGAGCTGGGCCACTCCTGTGCCCTGAGTCATGGCTTCACTAGGCAGGGCTGCTCAGCTGGAGCTGTTCCTGCTAGGAATTGAGAGCCAGGGCAGGCAGCTGCTTAATCGGATTACCTGAGGCCTGGGGCATAGGCCACGCCTTGAACAGAGTTGGGAGCAGGGTTCCCTCATGTCTAGAACCCAGGGGTCCAGCCTGTTTCTGGCTAGTGTTCTGCTGTGGCTCTAGCATCATCCGCATCACTAAAACTTGGCTCTTGGGAGTTATCCTGCGTTCCTGACCCTGGCCTCCTGGCTTGTATACAAAGATAAAATTTGCCATAATTCAGTGGTTTGGGCCTGGAGGTGAGAGAGCTTTGAGTTCTCTCACCTGAAGAAAGGGTTGAATCATAGCCCAAACACCTGCTGGAATGACTCAGGAAATAAAAATGGCCTTCCTCTGAAGGCCTTGATTGCCCCACGGGCAGGTCAGGCGCAGGAGGAGCCATAGGCACCAGAAAAAACGTTTTTGGGTGGGGAATGGGATGCTCCCAAATCCTCCGAGCACAACTCAACCCTGAGGGCAATTGATGCCCCTGTGCTTCATCCTATTGTGAAAAGGCATTGACTTTAAATTGCTAGTGCTTAAGAAAGGAGGGAGACAATGGCAGCCACTGGGGCTGGAAGGCTTGACAACTGCACCTGGGGTGGGGAGGGGGCGTGGTACCTGGAGGGGAAGTGTTGGGGCTGGGAAGAACGGGATACCTGAGTTTGCCTAAAGGAGGGGGATGTTGGCTGTCGGGGAGGGATTGGGGAGGAGTCAGTCTTTACAAGTTGATTCTGAGCCTGGCCAGCCTGCCACAGAGGCAGAGTGCAGGTGGTGGGCCTGAGACGCCTGACTGCAGGCCTGTCGGTTGCTGGGGTAAGTCAACCTCGACTGGACACCGCGCCTGGCACAAAAGGTAGGCGAGTGGTGGATGGGGGGCTCTTAAAAGCTAGAAGGGAAGGGGCCGGGGAGATGGCTCAGTAGAATAAGCGCTTCCCTGGCAAGCGCAAGGGCCTGAGTTCAATCCCCGGTTCCGGAAAAAAAAAAAAAAAAGCTAGAAGGGAAGCAGAGCTTGACCTCTCCGGTACAGGCGTGGAGCCCAGCAGAGTCTGCCCTCTACGCTGTCCGAAGTGTGCCGAATTGGTTGCAACCAAAGGCTCGAAGGATTCTGGACTGGGAGTGATAACACACTTTTTTTTAAGGACCCGAGTTATCCTCTACTTCAGACTGGAAAGACATTTTAAAAGTCCCAGCTTCACTTGAGAGGAGGGCATTCAATTCAGGACGCCCTCCTAAGGCTTTTCCCCACCCATGGCGCTACCTGGCTCACAAGCCCAAGCCTGGAACCTGGAGTGTCCCACTCCTACTGCAGAGACCTCCTCGGCTTCTGAACCCCAAGAGCAAGAGGGACCCACGAGCCCCGGGGTATCCGGAGGGCTTCCCTTGGAGAAAGTGAAGCGGCCTATGAACGCGTTCATGGTATGGAGCTCCGCTCAGCGACGCCAGATGGCGCAGCAGAACCCCAAGATGCACAACTCCGAGATCTCCAAGCGCCTGGGCGCACAGTGGAAACTGCTGGGCGAAGAGGAGAAGCGGCCCTTCGTGGAGGAGGCCAAGCGGCTGCGCGCCCGGCACCTACGCGACTACCCCGATTACAAATACCGGCCTCGGCGGAAGACCAAGAGCTCCGGCGCCGGGCCTGCCTTCAGCCTGGGAGGAGGTGTTCTGGACTGCGGCGGCCCACTCTGGAGTCCAGGATATACAACCACCCAAGGAAGCAGAGGGTTTGGGTACCAGCCCCCAAACTACTCGACATCTTACCTACCCGGCAACTATGGGTGAGTGCCAGGGAAGAGGGTGGGGATGGATACGAGAGTGCCCATTCAGAGACCACTCACGAGGTTGGTTGGCTCCATCCACCCATGGGGTCTTTCCTTCTCACCCTGGAGGTGGCAGACCTATAGGAGCAAGTGACCCCTGGATATGATACTTCAGTTACCAGGATTCTTCATTTCCCCCTGCTTTGGCCGGCATGTGACCCGGCATCCTCTCCCAGCCCGCAGGGCAAAGAGGCCAAGCCCATCCTGCCCCTTTCTGGCCTGCTGCCCCAAGAGGAAAACAGCAGCGCAGCACGCAAACCTGCTGCTCCTAAGCATGCCCCAACAGGGCTGTGCTCTTCTCTAAGCCATGCTAAGGTCTAGTTCCATGCTTGTTGTTGCCAGCATGGCTGGCTGGGTGGCAGCCTCTACCCCTGCCCAAAACTGGTCAGACCAGTCCCCCACTTCAGAGTTGGGGCCACTGCTTAGCCCCTTCAACCCAGAGAGGCAACTTCTAACTTCCCTGTTTCTCTTTGCAGCTCTTCCCACTGTAGACCGGAGGCCCCCTCGCTGTGTTCCCTCCCTCAGAGTGATCCTAGGCTCCAGAGGGAGCTTCTACCGCCACCGCCCTATAGCCCCTACCTATCCCCAGGGTCGCCCAGTCCTTATAGCCCAGGCACCCCCATGCCCCTAGCCCATCTCTAGAACAATCCATGGACCTCCCAGTAAGGGCTGCATTCTCCTTTCTTCTCACCCAGAATCACCCTCTCATCCTTTGTGTTGGATCACAACTCAGAGGTGTGCAGCCCTTTCAAGAAAGCCAAGGCCAGCAAAACCACTATATAACAGTTTTGTATGATGAAACCATGTGTTTGTGTCTTTATTGTGTCCCATCTTCCTTCACCTCAAAGCAGCAAGAACCAGCACCATCTCCACTCCCTTCCGCCTGGACCTGCCAGAGCAGGAACCTCCTCACCCCGCCCTGGGGCCCTGCCTGAGTCATTCAGTCCCCTTTCTCACCTCCAGCACTGGTCCAGTAGATAGTAATGTACTAAATGGGGCAGGGACAGGGGGCACCCCATCCCCGACTTTCCTCTAGTCCCTTATTTGGGCTCTGTCCTTTTAAGGCCAGAAGAGCAGTGGGGAGGTGAAAAAGAAATAGCTGGACACTGCTACTGCAGGAGCCAAATGATTAAATGAGGTAATAGCACATGTGCAGGCCTGAGGAAGTTTTTTTTTGTGGTACTGGGAATTAAACTTGCAAAATGGGAAAAAAAAAAAAACTTAGAAAATGATCCACCTGCCTCAGCCTCCTGAGTGCTGGGATTATAGATGTGCGCCACCACGCCTGGCTGGAAATGAAACTTGTTTTGGTGGAATGGGGGATTGAACTCAGGCCCCTACCCTTATTCTACTGAGCTATTTTTCCCAGCCCCTGGGAATGAAACTTTAATGTCAAAAGCTGTCAACAAACTGCCAGTTCCCTCTAAAAAGCCCTGGCTCAGAAAGCTGCAAGTGGTGAGTGGAGGAGGACTGAAAGTCACCAAGTGACTGGCTCTAGTAGAGAGGGCCCTGAGGTGGGGTACATAAGTGCAAACATGGACTAGCCCCAGTAAGTGGCTGCGCTCTACTGCTCCTTTTTCTGCTCCTGGGGAGGCTTTGTGTTCCAGTAGAAGAGGACCTGGGCAGCGATGAGTCCATTGCAGAGGGAAGAGACCACAAAGACTCCAGCCATGAGGGGGTCTCCAGTTTCCTGGTCATAAGAGATAGCCAAGGATATAGTAACGAATGCCCGTAATCCCAGCACTCAAGACGCTGAGGCAGGGCTGGGGAGATGGCTCAGTGGCCTAAGGCACCTACTTAGAACAAGTTTAGCAAAGCACAGGGACCGCAGTTCAATCCCCCAGCACCACATGCCAGCCAGCCCCGCCCCCTGGTGGGCTGAGCTGGCCACACACACACACACACAAATAAAATTTTAAAAAGATGCTGAGGCAGGAGGATTACCAGGAGTTCAAGGCCAGCTTCAATTATACCACAACATCTTATCTCAAAGAGCCTGTCCTAAACTAGGGCTTCAGACAGGACAGATTTAGTCCTTGAGTGACTGCGTGTAAAATGAGGTTTTAGTGCCCTCTAAAGGGCAGGAGGTATACTTACCTGAATGGAAGTAAAGATTCTGGTCAGGGAGCCCCCAAAGAGCAGAAACACTGTGATAGCTGACAGTTGACCTGTGTGCCCATTGCTGTAGTTGGTGGCTGCCTGGAGCAGCTAGGGGAGGAATTGACAACTTTGCTTTTGTCATTTGGGCTTTCCTCATGCTCCCATCAGATCTCATTTCCCTCTAATAGTCCTTTTGGGCCTCCATTCTGCCCCTCCACCCTGTCCCCACCTCTCACATACTTTCCCTTGCTCTGCTCCTACTACCCACCTTTCCCACCACTACAGCAGGCACATTAGAAGCCTGAAGCAGGGTGACCACAGCCAATGGCGTAAGTGGTGAAAGCAACACCAGCAGGATCAGTGCATAGCAGGCTAGGAAAGCAACTCCTGGGGGTCAGGGAGACAAGGAATCTTCATCAACCTCTCTTCCATTCTCTGGCTTCCCCAGGCCTAAGTTCCCAGCAGGATTTCCAAGAAGCCACAGCCTGCTCCTGGGCAAACCCCCAGCACCTTTCACAGTCTGTCCTCTGAAGTGCATGATCAGGAAGCAGATGGTAATTGTCTGGAGCACCAGGAACAGGGCTTCACCCCAAGAGCTGCAGAGTCAAGAGTTGGGAGGAAGAAAGCAGGCCTGGAAAGAGGCAGGGAAAGCCTCCATAGCCCATCCATCCCGGACATAATCCTCAGTTACCCTGTCCTCTGTAATCCACAGGCCCATTTGTGACTGTCTCATGATGCTGTGGGTATTCTTGGTATGCTAAACTCCTCTCTTCATTTCCACTGGAGACAACTAGATTTCTGGAAGAGCTTAAGCTTTCCTATCCTTTCACCTTATTTTAAACCAACTTACCATTGAGGACATGGGGCAGGGTCCTTACCTGAAGGGGAAGTTGTTGGTGATGCTGTAAACCACGGTCCCAGTCAATGCCACGAGCTCCAGCATTACTGACTGGAGACTCAGCCCTTCTGCACTCTTGGCTCCCAGGATTTTAAGGACTTGAGGCAGCTTTACTGGAAAAAGATGAGAGGGTGAGGTTAAGGAGCCTGTAATCTTTAATGGCACAACACACAGTTTGAGAAGGGACTGGGAAGCATGATAAACCCAGTTACAGCTAAAGGACCATACAGTTTCAGGCATTTCAGTACCTCCACCCCATCTTGATAGCTGGAAAGAAAATGTACATACCGAGAAGTGACCCAGCCACAATGCCCAGACCCAGGCCTTTGCTGAGGAGAATCTTCAGGCAGGGAACTGAGAAAGGAAGGAGACAAAGATGATCCCTCTGGAACCCCACCTGGGGACTGAAGTGTTCCTGTGGCCTGTCCTACCTTCTTTCTCACCTTGTCATTTTCACACAGGGTAAGTCTTAGTCTGGGAGTGGGAAGATGGGGGGAAAGAAGGCCCAGTTCTTCCTGCTCCAAGCTATCTCAAAAAAAATTTTTTAAGCACAAATTTTAGAACATTTTTGTCACCTCATTTGCTTTTTGGGGGTGCTTATTTTTTTTGTTTTTTGGAGGAACTGGGAATTGAACTCAGGCCCCAGTGCTTGCCAGGGAAGTGCTTATTCCACCGTGCCATTTCCCCGGCCCGCCATCTCATGATCAATCTAGGTGACTTTCCAAAACAATGTCTTCTCTCCACAAAAACTTTCCATTCCATAGAGTGTCTTCTGCTCTCCATTTCTTCCCGGAATAACATTAAGCTATGCTGAGAAGTCCCCTCATCCTTTTTCCCCTCTTCTGATCAACTGGCTAGGGACAGGTTTCCATATCATTCACTCTTTCTGTTTTGAGACAGGATCTTGCTATGTAGCTCAGGCAGGCCTTAAACTCATGCCCATCCTCCTGCCTCAGCCTCCCAAGTGCTGGGATTAATACCTACTCCATTCTTTTTTGTGGGGATGGGGGCCAGGAACTGAACTCAGGGCTTCGCACTTGCCAGGTAGATACTGCGCTGCTGAGCTATATTCCCAGCCCAATACCACTTATTCTTGAACTCTTACTGATTCCTACTCAGAGGCTTAGTCCTACCCTTCCAGGTCTTGTTTTTATCTCTTGGTCATTCATAATTTCTCTAGCCTTTATGTCTTTCCTCAAGGAGGTTGGCCCATTGAGATCCAGGTATTTCATAGATTGAGAGCAGGAAGTGTCCCATGAGCGTGGGAGTAGGGGGATTGCTATGAACGGACAGGGGCAGGTGGAAAAGGCCCCTCAGAAAGTCTCAGGTCTGAGGCATGCCTTGTTTCCCCGCAAATGGGGGAAAGAAGGCAAATTATTCCGAAATTAGGCCATGAATTAACATGCAGGCCACAAGCAACTGGGATCATGTTCATGGGTGAACAAGAAGGCCTGATTTATCACAGGCTTTTAATTAAATTTAACTCAGAAGCTTAGTCCTATCCTTCTAGGGCTTATTTAATGGTCTCCTAAAGGGGGCGGAGAAATGGCTCAGTAGATTAAGTGCTTGCCTGGCCAGGGCAAGGGCCTGAGCTCAATCCCCGGTTCCGAAAAAAAAAAATTTAATGACCTCCTAAAGTCTGGAGTTATTTGGTCATATTTTTAATTTTGTTTCGTAAAAAGTGAGCCTTCTCATCTTTTCTTGTCGCTCATACATACACCTCCAAACGTACTTCCAGGAGACTCACTCTCTTGTCCAAATATGGCGTCTCCCCTGAGCGAGGTCCCAGCCACTTCCGCCCCTCCAAGAAGCGCCTTCCGCCCAGCTCAGCGTGGCAGGAGCCGCCGCCGTCATTTAGTAGCCAGTCACGGCCACGGATGCTCGAATAAAACTTTGATTGGAGAATGAATAAAACTCACCATGAAGCAGGTCCCACTGGACGAAAAGTTGGTCGTAGCATTTCTCTGGTAAAAGAACTGGCACCAGCACCCGTTTGAGCAGCGGATCTGCCTCAGCCACCATGTTGGGAAGCGAGCTTCCGCCAGTTCTGTAGCCCGCCATTAACTGGTAGTGCGCATGCGCGCTCTGCGTCCGACGCGCCCAGTTCCTTCCCCGCGGGAGGCCACACCGTCCCCTATCCCCCACCTTTTTTCACTCCACCCGAGCTTATGAGGTAGAACTTAAGAAAACAGACCAAGTTTCAGACGCGGTCTCCTGTTCGAATTTTAAAGTGTTCCCGAGCAGTGCGTCTGCGCAGTTAAGATTTTCCGCCCCTTTGTTTACTGTAGCACTTCAGAAGCGAGAATTATCCCTTGGCCTCTCTTCTCGCCTCCTGCTAGGCGCCATCTTGTCCTCTCAACTCACTTTGCATTGTACAAAGTTGAGGGAAAAGGAATGTCTCCAAAATGGTGTTGGGTGGGGACGCTGCAGCTTTCTTTTTCCTTGTCTCTCGGCATCTCCAGAGAGAATGGCCCTGACCAGTGTTTGGTACCACGCTTCCTCCTCTTGGCAGTTTCAGCGCTGCGGGATGGGTCTGTACACCAGCGACTGTTCGGCCCAGTGCAGTGAAGTAGAAGAGGTTGGCGAGGCCAGCCTTGGAGCCCCCTTACCCAAGTGGTCTAAGAGTGTGCTTCCTGTGTCAGGTAAGGATGCGCAAGGCTGAGTAGGTTGAATGTCTGTGCTTGGAAAAGGCATCTTGGAAGCAGAGTGCAGTGCCCTGCCCCCTAGTGCCAGACCACCTGCCAGGCATGGTCCACCAACCTGATGGAGGTGTCATTACACTTTGGAGCACCCTTCTCTTGGAAGTCCCTTTTTAGAATCTGGCTACTGGCAGCCCTGAGGGTGACCCTCCCACCTTCCCCCAGGAACTGGGGGTATTTGGGCCAGTTTGGGGTATGCCCAGGCTGAGGGTGATGGTGTTTTGTGTAGTACAGAAATCAACTGTGTGAGGTCACAGTACCTATTGCTGCTGTGGTTGATGTAGTCCTTTACAATGAATTCTTTAGCTTATTTAGCTCGGGAATGACGGCAAGGAATTCACCCCTCAAATTTAGTAATCCTCCTGCCTCACCCTCCTGAGTGCTGAGGCGACAGATGTGTACCACCATACCCAGAATTACTGCTCTGGAGCCACTGGCTGTGTGTGTGTGTGTGTGTGTGTGTGTGTGTGTGTGTGTGTGTGGCCAGCTCAGCCCACCAGGGGGCGGGGCTGGCTGGCATGTGGGGATTGAACCGTGGTCCCTGTGCTTTGCTAAGCTTGTTCTAAGTAGGTGCTTTAGACCACTGAGCGATCTCACCAGCCCCTGGCTCTGTCTTTGGAAATGAAATTAGCCATCTATGCATTCCTTTATCGATCTGCTGTACCTGTGGGGAGTTGGAAAGATGGTTGCCAAAATGGGCAACTCCACTAGGCTGGGGGAGACACCGATAGCTAGTGGCTCCAGAATAATCTAGGAAAGAAGGAAGCAGTGGTATATTCAGTGTCACCTGTTCCAGGCTGGTGCAATTGAACCCGTACTTGAGGGCATTTGGTCAAGTACTATTTTCATCCCTGTTTACCAGCTGTTTTTGGCCCCCTGTGACTCAACCATGAAAGACACAAAGGCATGTAACAAGACACAGCTTTTAATCCTGACAGGACAAAAGAAATCAAAGATAAAAGATTTGAGGTTTTTATACTGGCACTGGGGCTATCTCCTTTAATAAAAACCTCTTTTCTCTTCCAATTGCATTAACTATTTTGTTCTTTAAGAAAGACAGTAAAGGATGATAACTTTGTCTCCGGGTTGGTTTCATGATGAGGAAATAAGGATGCCTCTTAGAGCCCTTAGGGTGGGGCAAATGCTTAGAGAGCCTGGTAGGCAGATGGGCGTCTCTGAATGATGCAGAAGGCAGCAAGCACCAGGGCGAGGAGGCCAAGCAGGGTCAGGCCAATGATGAGAGGCAGCATGATGGATTGGTCTCCAGGGCAAGAAAAACCTGGCAGAAAGATGGCAAATAAACATTCTACCAGCTGGCTGGGGTGTGAGAGCTGTGGGGAGTTAGTGGAAGGAGATTGGTAAGCAGCTCACCCCAGAACTCAATAGTAGGTAAAAGGGGGAGAGGGGTAGATTCTTGTAAACAAGGGGAGCACAGTTTCCCAGTTGACATGACAAGCCTAAGAAAGGGAAGAAGTGTGGGCTTTAAGAGAGATTTGGGGGCCAGGGCCAGGGCCAGGGCCGGGGAGATGGCTCAGTGGAATAAGCGCTTGCCTGGCAAGTGCAGGGGCCTGAGTTCAATCCCCGGTTCCACAAAAAAAAAAAGAGGGGGGGGGCCTGGGAAAGGGGATTCTAGCACAGTGGGAGAACTCTAGGAGGGAAAGATAGACAGGTCTTACTTGGCCCAAAGACTCCTGTGTGAGGCAGCTGAGCGGCTTGTAGCCTCAGAGAGAGCAGGTCAAGGTGAAAAGCTGGAGAAAGAAGGATGCTGGCATTTCTGCAACTGAAGCTTTGGCCCAGAGGTGCTTGGAGATCTCGAAGGGAGGAATTCTGAGCCAAGAATGTCCACTCTATGGGGAGAGGAAGAGTCAGGTCCAGTCAGCCTACCTGCCCCAGCTTCATCTCTTCAGGATCCCAGACAAGCTAGCAATGAGGAAGGAAAGGTTACTTACGGGCTGCCTGGGGGAAGGACACATTGTACTCCACTTCCATGTAGTTCAGGTAGACTACACTCTTGCTCTGTTGCATGTCCTGGGGGATAAACAGGAAGGCTCAGTGCAGCAAGGGGGGATGGTGTCCATGTCCACAGAGGACAGAGGGAGGCAAGGGGTTGGGAGGGATGAAATGAATACAGAGAGGGTTGTGGAACTGTACCTGCTTGAATCCAAAGCTGAGATGCCCATTGGGAAATGAGAGAAGCAGGTGCATATGGGCACCCTCACAGCCCCCCTGGGTCTTGGTTTTATTGGGGTTCAGTACAGAGACGCCCCAGGCCTATAGAAGTTAAAAGAGTAGAGGCTCTTAAAATTGCAATGTCAGAGGCCAGGGAGACAGCTCAGTAGCATAAGCACCTGCCTGGCAAATGCAAGGTCCTAAGTTTGAGTTCAGTACCCTATAGCACAAAGAAATCCCACAAAAACTAATGCCATGCTATCCAAAGTTCCTTGTTCCCTCTTTTTTTTTTTTTTTTTTTTTTTTTTGGTCTTTTTTGAGACAGGGTCTCATTAAGCATCTCAGACTGGCCTTGAGCTCACTTTGTAGCCCAGGCTAGTCCAAATTTGTAAGGATGTCCAGTCTCAGCCTCCCAAGTGCTGGGATTACAGGCATTAACTACCATGCTCTGCTTATACTTCCTCATCTATTCTTCTTCCTCCCCTCTGAACCACAACAGGATTTGCTTCCTGTCTCTCTCATCTACAGTCTTTTAGCTTTACCTCTCCTCCGTCCTGGGTACGGTACAGGACTCGAATCTGAATCTGGGCTTGGAGCCGGACACAGGGCTGGGAACCGTTAGTCCATGTGTAGTTTCCTATAGCCTTGTTGGAGCCTGGACTAGGACTTGGGCAGGGGGGGGGTGGTCCCCGAGTAGGGGAAGTAGTCGAGAATCTTGGGCTGGTAGTAGTGCCATTGCTTGTTGTGGGATGAACAGTAGCATTTCCAGGAGTAGTGGCAGCAGCAGGACTCTGAGTGTCAGTTGTAGGCCCAGCAGTGGTAGCAGTGCTATTGCTTGTTGGGTGAACCGTGGCATTTCCATGACTGGTGGTGGAGGGTACATGGCTGGTCGTAGGTCTCACTGTGCTTTTTGTAGCTGTCGGTGTCGCCGTGAAGGATGGCAGCAGAGTGGCTGATTTTTTGTGAGGACAGTCAATCTCTGTTCCCTGGGCTTTGAGCCAAGAAACTGGTTAGTAACCCAGGGTAGGCTCCTCCTCAGGGTCTCCCTTTCTTGGGTCCCACTTTCTTCTTACCTGTTAGAAGCCCGAGAGAGGCTAAAATCAGCACAGCCGACCTCATGACAGAACTGCCTCACCGAAGTCCAACTAGGCTGTGCGGGCACCAGTTGTTCAACTCTAGTTCCTGTCTTCTCTTGGGAGAAGTCTTTCACTTCCTGTAAAATAACCCCACCCCCAACTGATCCCTGCACTTGAGCTCCAGACACCAATCTTGGGTCATTAGCTTTCATAATCAAATTAAGAGAACCATTGGCTCTGGCTTCACAAGTGGGAAGTTATTAGGGCAGAGTCAAAGGGAATCATGTGAGTATAGAGGTCTGGGACAGTTGATTCATGGCAACCCTTCTGAACACTCAGCAGTTGGAACAAGTGGTTACAGGACCTGCTGACCGGTCCTTCCTGCTGTGGTCTCCCCAGAAATGAATTCTCAGGAAGTGGAACCAGCTGGTTTTGAAATCTATGTATGTAGTTGTCCGACTCCCAAATTGATCCTCTTAGGAGCCCCAGCCAAGTGTAGGGATCACCGTCCTATACCAACACCCAACTTTCCTCCTGACCCTGTAGTATTTGTTATCAGGGATTGAACTCAGGACACTGCACTTGCCCTGCAAGTACTCAATGAGCTCTCTCTCCCTGGCCCAACCCTGTAATATTTTGACAGTACTTCCTCAGGTGACACATGAGGCAATTGTGCACTTTCAACCCTTCAGATCACCAGGCTGGCTGGCTTCAGCCTTGAAGACCTGTCTCAGAATGCCAAGATCAATTGTATGTCACTGTACAGTAACATCTTGAGAACATGGCTTTATCATCTGGTAGTGCTTAGGCAATCACATCAAAGCAACAAGGTAAAGCACTCGGTAGGCAGGGAGATATACCCAAGTGGCAGGTGGGAGAGACCAAGAAATGAAAAGCCCAAACAGGCAGTTTCCAAGTCATTTTATTCAGAATTTTGTTGTTTGTTTCCTGAATCAATAAATACTATACAAAACAATGTAAAAATGGCTACCATTTTCTCTCCCCTGCTCCCCCCATCTGGGGACATCCCCTGCAAGCAACCTCACTTAGGAGATTTGGTCCAGCAAGTGAGATCAAGTTAATATGTTATACACCCCCCTGAATTTTTCCAGAGGAATTTGGTCAAGGGAGGGAGAGCTTCTGGGACCTGAAGGCTAAGGTTAGGAAAATGAATTAGTGTTTTTTGAGGAGACGACGCCTGGGGCAAGAGTGTACCTCAAAGAAAAGGCTGTCTAAAATGTTCACGGTTCCTTCTTTTGCCTCAAAAAGTGACATTTATTCAAAGGAAAAAAAAAAAAAAAAAAAAAAAGAAAAAAAAAAAGAAAAATTGACAAGATGTCCATCCCTCGGCTCCCTTCCCTCCCCCCTCCGGCTGCTCCTCAGCCACCCAAGGTTGAACTCTGGTTGGGGCTAGGCAGCAGGACAGCCCTCTCAGATGAGGTCAGCAACATTGAGGGGCATCTCTTCAATGGAGGTGTTGTAGAAAGTCTCAATGTCTCGAAGAGTCCTTTTGTCTTCTTCTGTCACCATGTTAATAGCTACACCCTTACGGCCAAAGCGGCCTCCACGACCGATTCTGGAAAACAGGGATAATGCAAAGGAAAGGATGAGTAACAGAGCTTCAGCTCAAATATTAGGGAGAAGGGGTTGTACAAGTATGTTGAAACTACTCACCTGTGGATGTAGTTTTCCCTATTTGTTGGAAGATCATAGTTGATGACTAGCGAAACTTGCTGCACATCAATGCCTCTGGCCTAAGTGTACAAAAGATACCTTTAGTTCATGTACAAGAACACAGTATGTCGAAAAGGACTTCATTATCTGTAGGCATCCAAAGGAAGATAAAGGAAACAATCCCGTCTCCCAGAGACCTTATGCATGCCAGCATTTTTTCTTCCAAGTTGCTACTTTCCTGAAAGGGGCACAAGTTCGCCCATTGGAGAGGGAATCACCTTGGATTCTTTTCCCCCCAGTCTTCAGAATACCCTTCTACTCACCAGTAAGTCAGTGGTAATCAATACTCTGCTGGAGCCAGACCGGAACTCCCTCATGATCACATCTCGTTCCTTTTGGTCCATATCTCCATGCTAGATACAAGATGGAACAAAAGGATATATGGAGTGGGTAGGCACAGGCATTCTGGGAAAACATGATTCTCATAGTCTTTGACAAGGGGGAAAATTCACCATGGCAGAGACAGTGAAGTCTCGGGCATGCATCTTCTCTGTGAGCCAATCAACCTTCCTTCGGGTGTTAATGAAGATGACTGCCTGGGTGATGGTCAGGGTCTCATACAAGTCACATAACGTGTCCAGCTTCCATTCCTGAGATGGAAAAAAAAAATACATAAAATCAATTGGGGCAATAACCAGTGCCTCATCACCAGGCCCGCCTCCCATACTGCACCCCACCTCTCGTTCCACGTTGATGTAAAACTGGCGGATACCCTCCAGGGTCAACTCTTCCTTCTTCACAAGAATCCGAATGGGGTCTCTCATGAACTTCTTGGTCACCTCTAGCACATCAGAAGGCATTGTGGCTGACAACAAAACCACCTAGAGGAAAAAGACAATCTGTGAAATGTCCTAAGATACTATATTGCTCATCCTTTAACCTAACCAGACTATGCCTTATTCTACTAAGGAATTATTTGGCTATTATTAAGATGATACTCTTCCTCACCTGGGTATTACTGTTGAGCTTTTGGAATATGTCATATATCTGGTCCTTGAATCCACGGCTCAACATTTCATCAGCTTCATCTAACACAAACATCTTGATGTATTTGGGAGCTATAGGACAGAAAAAAATACCAATACATGATAATAAGAAAAATGTACCAAATTATCCTGGGTTAGAAGGGAAGGAGGCAGTCTGCTCTCAGATTTAAAAATTGATCCTTTGCCAATGACTTCCCCCTGCATTGACAGCCCTGGGAAGTAGAACACTACCTGGGCTAAAGAGGAAAGTCAGGCTCAGATGACACGCATGGGCTTCATCACAGAGCAACTATTTTAGGGAAAAGGAAACTAATATCCTTGAAAATGAGACTTGGCTTTTATTAAGCTGAAAGCCTGGCTAAGCAGCTCCTACTAGAAAAGAAATGACTCAGGGGACTATGAAGTACTTACACAGGTATCTGCGGTTAAGCATATCAAACACGCGGCCAGGGGTTCCCACGATGATATGGGGAGCTTCCATCTGCAGCTTCTGTACCTCAGCGTGCACATTGGTGCCCCCAATACAGGCATGACACGAGGCACCCATGTAATCTCCTAATGCCATGACCACCTTTTGTATCTGGACCCAGAGAAAAGAGGTATTTGTCTGCTGACTACACCAGGTCCCTTTCTTTGAAATGGGCCTCACTTTACAGTTAAGGTTGGCCTTGAACTCTAGCTCCAGCCTAGCAAGGAACTCAATGACCTTCCTACCTCAGCCCATCAAGTGCTGGGATTATAGCTGTGCACCACCACACCTACCTAGGTTTTTTTTTTAAATTTTATTTATTTATTCAGTGTGTGTGTGTGTGGCCAGCTCAGCCCACCAGGGGGCGGGCTGGCTGGCATGTGGTGCTGGGGGATCGAACCGCGGTCCCTGTGGTTTGCTAAGCTTGTTCTAAGTAGGTGCTTTAGACCACTAAGCCATCTCACCAGCCCCCTACCTAGGTCTTGATTCTTAATATTTATCAACCTTAAAATATACAGTATAAAGCCCATTTTGGGAGATAACCAGGGGCAAAAGAAAGCCTGTAACTTTTAAGACAGGTGTGGTAGCACAATCCTGTAATCCCAACTCAGGAGGAGGCTGAAACAAGATGTTCTATGAAGCTAAAGAAGCTATATGATGCTGAACTACATAGCAACCCACCCCCAAGCAAAAAGAACTACACTGTCCAGAACAGTGGTGGTGAACTTAATACATGTGCCATAACAGGCTATTTGTGTCATTTTTAAAACCTTTAAAGTTTGCCATCACTTGCAGAGTGCCAGGAAGGTTTGTTTCCCGAGTACACACTGATTCCTCATGAACTAGTTTTAAATTTCTGTCACATATATTGGACATAGTCTATATTTACATGTTATTTGTGGTATAAGTTCACATCAGAATACTCACTATATGTGCTAGTCATCTATAAGTCGTTTCCCCCCTTCAAACCCCAAGAAAAGAACAGAGGCCAAGGTTAAGATTTTATGTACCCTAGGCATGAAACAGCTTAGGCCACCAACCCAGGCATCAAGCTAGGATGAACAAAGGACTGTCATCTGCTCTGCCCCTGACTGATATAAGAACAACACCACCAGTGAGGTGTCTCTTTGCCCATTGCCAGGGGGTTTCTTCACTAACAGCCACTAAACTTGCCTAGCCAGCCAGACTCCACCCTGAAGTCTTCTCACTTGACTCAGGAAATGGGTGGAGTAAGTGGTGATTGTAATGTTTGGGTAAGAAACAGCTATTAATTAAACCCAGCAGATCCTGTGAGCTACACGCTATCAACTCATATCTCTCCCTAAGCATCTCTTATTTTTACTGGTCACGAAATACAACTGACTTTTGGATTATGCCTATTATTGCTAAAGTAGCCTTCAGGAAGAGGAAAAAAAGCTGCTCTTACCTGCTGAGCCAATTCTCGAGTGGGAGCCAGAACCAAAGCCTGGGTAGCCTTTAGATCTAACTCAATCTGCTGCAGAATTGATATGGCAAATGTGGCTGTTTTCCCAGTCCCAGACTGGGCTTGAGCAATCACATCATAACC